TTCGGGTCTTTCTATGCTACCGTCGACATAGCCCCACATGTCGTTAAAAATTAAGACGCTCTTCATTTGCATCCGCCAGGATTCGTAATTTCCTTCCGCTAATTTTTCCACGTAATGGCTGCTGGCTAGATGCATAATGGATTCACTCACTTATAAATTTCTTTACAGGTGTACTCGTGGACATTTCTAGCCTGGGTCCATAACCTGTTCGGGAATTAATTCGACACGTGTAGAATCCAACACAATAGTGACTTTTATTAACCACAGCTCTGTGTCTCTACTTCACATGCGCCCTCAGGTGGGCATCACCCAGTGATAAGGTATTATCGCATATTGGTCGGTAACGCATATTAAGTGGGTTGACCAACAGTTACTATTAATTAATAAAATTGATTATCTAAGGTTAAATGTACTATCGATAAAAAATAATAAATTAAAAAAGATATTCTGCGTTATACAATATTTTTTTTAATTTTGTTCAAATAATTTTAACATTAAAAAAACGAAGAATTGGAAAGAGTAAGAGCACTACGAGTCAGGCGCAGAAGACGTCGCGCAAATAATACACTTATACCAGATATGTAAATATGAAACCAGAATTTACCAATAGATGGCCATAGCTGTCAATATAGTTGCCGTCAGACCGCGTCATTGACGCCATTTCCTTGTTCTGACATCTGACAAAAATTTTCAACTCACAACAATACAAGTTTTATACAACAGTATAGTTTGTAATAGCGTTGCACATGTCGAATTTTGTGCCTGGAAACTACGATTTGCGGACAGCATTGATTTTCTGTTGCCATTTGAAGAAAACTGCTGCAGAATCGCATCGAATGCTTGTCGGAGCTTACGGTGAGCATGCTCTTGGTAAATCACAGTGTTTGGAGTGGTTTAAAAAATTCAAAAGTGGCGATTTTGACGTGAGAAACGAAGAACGTGGAAAACTATCGAAAATGTTTGAAGACAGCGAAGCATTGCTGGATGAGGATGACGCTCAAACTCAACAACAACTCGCGGATCAATTGAATGTGACACGAGAAGCCGTCTCCATACGTTTGAAATCCATGGGAAAGATCCAGAAGATGGGAAAATGGGTTCCACATGAACTGAATGAAAGACAGCAGGAAAACCGAAAAACCACTTGCGAAATGCTGCTCGCCAGGTACAAAAGAAAATCATTTTTCCATCGAATTGTGACTGACGATGAAAAGTGGATATATTTTGAGAATCCTAAGCGTAAAAGGTCATGGGTAACTCCAGGCGAACCATCGACATCGACTGCAAGGCCAAATCGCTATGGACGGAAGACAATGCTGTGTGTTTGGTGGAATCAGAAAGGTGTGATCTATTATAAGCTGCTAAAATCTGGCGAAACCGTTAATACTGAACGCTACCGACAACAAATGATCAATTTCAATCAAGCTTTGCGTGAAAAACGACCGGAATATCAAAAAAGGCAACACAAAGTGATTTTGCTTCATGATAATGCATCATCACACACAGCAAAACTGGTCAAGGAAACGATTGAAGCGTTTGGTTGGGAAATACTTTCGTATACGGCTTACTCACCAGACTTGGCTCCGTCCGATTACTATTTATTTGCATCGATGGGACACGCACTTGCTCAGCAGCGCTTCATTTCTTACGAAGATATGCGAAAATGGCTAGATGACTGGTTTGGCTCAAAAGAGCAACAATTTTTTTGGCGTGGCATCCGCAAATTGTCAGACAGGTGGGAAAAATGTATAGCTAGCGATACTTCGAATAAAATATTTTTTGTCATTTTCATGCAATAAACGTGTATTTTCTATTAAAAAATTCCGGTTTCATATTTACATACCTGGTGTAGAAGATCTTAGCACTACTCAGCACTACTGAACACTTCTGCACTACTGCAGTAGTGTAATAGTGCAGTAGTGTGCTGTAGTGCTGTAGTACACTAGTGCCTCAAAATACTCCTAGTGCTCAGTAGTACTTTTCTACAAGGGAGGGTTAGACTTGTGTTCCCTACAGGAAGGAAAAATATCATTTAAAGACTGCATATAGCGAGTCTAAGGATTTAATGTTGCTAAGATTAAAATTTTCGTTGTACCTAGTATAATAAATTAATGTTAATGTTGCTTGTTAATGTTGCTTGTTAATGTTGCCTGTCAAAGTTTCTTCTGGACAGGCTTAATAAATTATTAAACAGAAGATTTCAGTGTAAAAACTAAGAATAAAGAAAACTGATATATTGACTTAGAACTTCTCGTAAATACAATGTCGCCTCACAGAAGTAAAAAGTAATAGGCAGTTACATTCTAGTATTAATTGAGTTTCTCAAATATACGGTCAAAAAATATAAATATATCGTTTAGATTACGTCGCCTGAAAGAAAGACATTGTTTCCTTAGTATACCGATTATTGCGAAGAATATTACTAAGGCCTCGGTAGTCTAATGGCTCAGGACGCTCGTACGGTTTACAAGAGATCCGGGTTCAAATCCCGGCCGAGGTAATATTTTTCGCAATAAATTTATTAATAGTTTTTATAGATTAACATCTTTATAATATGTGATGCTTGATGGTAGCATCAAATTATTAAAAATTGCTTGTCAATTTAATTTCGCGATTACTAGAGTAGTTTTAATTGCGTTTATTTAGTCCGGAAAAACAATTCGGCGCGCAGTTTGAAAAAGACTACAATATGGTATATATGCAAGTACATATATAGTATATATTAGTAATTCAAGATTGAATTATTTAAAGCAACGAAGATCCAACTCCGACCGTAATAGGCAGTTACATTCTAGTATTAATTGAGTAAAAAGTAAGACAAATATACAGAATGAGGCTCGAAGGAGGTCTATCAAAGTTAAAAATAATAAAAAAGCTCGTCAGAGCCTACATCGGCTGTTTGGATGCACAGAAAACACTTTATTTTCAAGTGAATATAAATCAATACGAATAAAAACGTTTCAACCCTTTTATTTGGGTCCTTATCAATATAAATATACAAATGTAAATCTAATTATATAATTAACGCAAAATCCAAAAAAGTGATTCCCGCCAATTTAGCTCATTCTTCTTTATCCAAATGTCAAATTAGCTATACAAAATGGTTATCAAAAATATTAACTTACACAAAAATAATATAATAATTTACATCTAACTTAAAAAAACGAAGTCAGATAAAATACATCAAAAAATAAACTTATACAATAATAATATAAAAAACTTACATAAAGTAAAAACGGAATCCAGTGTATTGCGTCAAAAATAGAATCGCATCGCACATCAAATTATCAGATTTACTATGTAATCATTCATAAAAAAGAAAACAAAAAAACCAATATATATATATATATAATTAAAGAAATATTAAAATAATTAATCTGAAATTTTTCTGAAATTTTAATTGTATTAGCTTACATGTAAGAGCGTATCTTGCGACTCGATGTAAAAGTCTAGTAGTGTCGACAGTCAGAGATGAAATGAGAGTCAAAATAATAAAGTCACGTAGTTATTTAAATGAAAATAAAAATAAAATAAAACTAAGAACAAAGAGGGGAATCAAACGTCACGATTCCGCAAACTATTCTATGTATAGTAGGTCTAAAGAATACGTGTCATACTGTAAATTCAAACTCTGCCTCTGCTGCTTTATATGAATCATTTCCGAAATTAATCTTTTGTTGAGCATCCTTTTCTCATCTAATATCTTTCCATTTTTCCAATCAAAATCATGCTGATGACTGACTTTGTGTTCTGTAATTACGGAATGTTGTGTAGTGTTCCAATTTATGTGATTTTTATGTTCATTTATGCATGTCTTCAAACATCTACCTGTTTGGCCTACATATGATGCTTCACATTCCCGACAATTAATCTTGTATACTACACCTGTATGAGATAATTTAGGACGAACATCTTTATGCCCCTTGATGAACCCTCTAAGGTTATCAATCCCCCTATATGCCATTCGTACTAATGAGTCTTTTTGAAAAATTTTTTTATCTTTTCAAACAAAAAAGGTATAAAGGAGACTGTAAAAAATCTGTGATTAATTTTATCTTCCTTTTTATCCGTTGTCTTATCTTTAGATGTGTTACACTGGTCATTCCATTGTTTAAATTTTTTTGACAACCTATTTTTTATTTTTGAGAATATGAATTTTAATGGGTATCCATTGTTTAAAAGAATTTTAATTATTAATTCAAAATTTTCTTGATGGTAAATCGGGTGGAACAAAGAAAGAACTCTATCAATTAAACCAACAATTGTACCCATTTTCTGGCACAAAGGATGTCTAAAAAAATAATTTAAATAACGACCAGAAAAGGTAGATTTGTGGTATCGATTGTGAATCAGAGAATTTCCCTTTTTTATTAAGCAGATATCAAGAAAATTTAACCTCTCACCACCTATTTCAGTTATAAATTTTAACCAGGTATGGAAAGAATTAAAAGTGTTCATCAGTGTATCAATGTGTGACTCATCATATGCTAACGCAACGTCATCAACATATCTCACATAAAAGGAAGGCGATATTGAAAGACCCTGCAATGCTTTCGTTTCAAAATCTTGAATAATAATATCAGTTACAATGAGTGACAACGGCGAACCCATCGGTACATCAAAGGTTTGTTTATAAAATTTGGTATTAAAATTAAAAAATGTTGAATTGAGAACTAATTCCAAGGCTTTAAAAAATTCCCTTTTGGGGATGCTTGTGTTTCTTTCAATGAAATGCTATTACCTCTCTATGCCTTCAAATACCAAGTCAATAGGAACATTTGTGAATAATGCAACCGTCAAGAGAAAGTAAGAGTGAGCGCGCAGTTAAAAGGCAGTGCAACCAACCTAGTCAAACTAAAGAAACTAAAAGTGAAACGTAAAGAGAGCGCTACACGTAGTTAAATGAATGTACTCTTATGACAAAAAAAATATATTGGTTTGAGCGCCAACTTTAACAGTATGAATAAGAGGATGAAGTATTGTAAAATTAAAGGTTATACCTGAAGAATTCCTGGTAATGGTACTGGCATCATCGTTGCCTCTTCCTTCTCGTCTAGATCCGATGGAATGGCGGTCATCGCCGCGACGCTCGCGGTCGGTTTGGACGTTTTGACCTTAACTGAGTGGCTAGGTTTTAAACAGGCGCCCGAATTTGACGCGGGGTATTCGTCGCTACTCAGTGAATACAGACTGTCGGAATTCGTGTTACTCACACTAAGCAGGCTCGTATTCGTCATCGCCGTGGAGACACTTAACAACGAACCGCTATAAATGATAGGTTTAATACTCAATAACGGACTGGTGTTAGCTGATGCCGATGTTATCGTAGCAGAACGATTTCGTGGGCTGTGGTTGTACTTGGCGAAGATCAATGTGTCTTCGGACTTGGAGGGCGGTAATCTCATGTTCTGCAACGGTATCAGATGATTCATGGTGCTGGTGGTTATCAGATTGCTACTGCTATTTATCGGTGCGCACAACGATTTCTGCGGCTCCAAGGTTGTCGACGTGTTTGAAATGTTGCTACCTTTGAGTACATATTGTCCACTGGGCAGCTGTTGTTCACTTTTGCTGAATTCTGTCATAAGAAGGTTAGAAGATGATTTCGACAGATTGGGACCTGGCCAACTGCCACGGCCAGGACTCGATTTTACGAGTTTAGGATCTCTAGGTGGTAATTGTAATAAACTTCGTTTCAAGCTATTACTGTTGTTCTTATTTCTATCCAAATTGAGTAGGTGCTTCATAGATATGCCCACGGTTTGCATCGCGATCTGTGAGAAAGTATCGATAAATGAATCACAAACAATATAAAATTAAAGTGTTTAAATAAGTTTATAAGACAAATACAATAAAATACGCTCTATAAAACATTACGTGATAATAATTACATTTTGTTGGGAGGAGCCGCGATCTCTCGCGAAAGTTATAACATCAATTAACCATCTGGCACCTTTCCATACGATGTTCACTTGTGACTGAAGATCTTGTAATCTTGCCAGTTTGTCCTTCGCAACGCTCAACTCCAAGGAACTGAAGGCCTCTCTATGATTATGCTGAGCCTGTGCGGTGTCCAATTCCAATATACAACTGAGTCTCGAGTAACGATTGATCACATCCTTGTGATACGTATTCAAGTGGACCATTTCAAAGACCTGAATAGGCAACGATAAGAGATCACTGCGCTGTAGCAGGATTTCTCGCGTGCCAGGTACGCAACAGACTCTTTCAGCAGCTGGTACTGCGATAAGGAATGAGACATCGTGAGTTAGATCTATCACCTCAGCGTCATATAATCGATGCACCAGCGAATCCTCTGGACTGATCTCCATGTAATTGAATAGACGTCGCGCTGTTGCGGCAACCAGATCAACAAACAGCTTTTGTTGGTCCGTACCTTGCGCCTCGTTTGTCACATTCTCCTTCTCTTCAGATTCCTCTACGGAAGTCTCAGACGTGCAAATGCGTGTTACTCTCTTCAGATAATCCCACTCCTCTCTTGACAGATAAAAACAAAGGTATAATAATATAGTAAATAATTCAGAAATGTGATATTTTGTGTTTTAATGAATTTCAATAAACGTAAACTTACGCGGATACGTGCGGATTGTCGCGAATCTTACAATGTGGCAATACGTTCGGAGATTTTGTTGGGACAACGACTTGTATAAGATCAACGCTGCTTTGCATTTTCAGATAACCGAGATATAAACCCTTTGATAGTTTAATACTGCTGACTTGGTGATACGTCATTTGCTCTTGTATGCTGGCCATTAAGATGTCAGTAACGTTACTTTCTTCGTGCGTTATGACCTTCTTTATAACTTTACTGAGCGGTAACCATCTGCTGTTTAATACAGAAATCAATTTTGGCGACTTTATATAATTTACTGTCGATAACACTAAGGTGCCTTGAATGTCTTTAATGGGCTTATGATATAACTGTCCAAGGTCTTGTATGCACAATGCAGCCTGCAAAGTGGAAAAATATCACATAATGTTTATCTATACGTATTTTTATATATTGAGCAATACAAGTTCATGAATAGTTAAGTTAAATAAGTGTTTTTAAACGATCCACAATGTTACCTGCATTTGAGCAGCAGCTTGAAGCAACTTTATCCTAAAATGATTAGTTGAGCTGCTGTGACTTTTTTCCATATCCTGTCGAAGAAATTTAACATCATCCCATGTACAGGCAACTTTCATGAGCCAATGAAAATCATTGTAAATACAACTGGGATACGTCTCGTCGATCTCGATTACGGGTAAGAAATCCTCGTTGGTAACAAGAACTTTGTCTTCGTAGTAAAGCAGACATGCTAGAAACACTCCTCGTCTGAGATTCTTCTGGAATTTACTCGTTGCAGTAAAGAGTTGCTTTATCGTTGTTTTCTTCTTGTGATTTCGCCTTTGCACCGCTGGCGTTTCTTGCGTATATTCTGAGCGCCTTATGTCGGTGAACAGACTGTTGAGCTGTTCCAGCCGTCCCGCGAATCTGGGCATCCTACCATCTATGTCTCTCCAACCTTCAAGTTATTACAAATATTTATATTATTTGTGAAATCAAGAGTATTTAAACGCGTCATGGTAATAAACATCAAAGCACATAATTACCATTATACATATAACCGTACTGCTGCAACGGTATAACAACAAGATATATATTGACGCTATATATATACTTACTGCTAGGTGTAACGTGTGATGGCGTCGAGTTCCTGAACCTGCTATAGCCCTTCAAATTTCCTGCGGCCGCACGAAAATGATATTTTTGACCTTGAGTTAGATCCTCGATTCGACACTCCTTCTGTTTCATGTCCAAGACTTCTCTATCGCCGCAAATAACCGAAAACTCATCGTGCAGGCTCCATTGAACTTTAAATTTAGTACAGATCGAAGAATCGTGCGAGTCTGGTTCTTGAAACCTGATTGTTACTGACGTCGTTCCAGTGACATCGATCGCGATTAAAAAAAGTATATCGGGTGGGCCTAAAGTAAATGTTTATATTTTAGTGTAAAAAAAATTTGTGTATGTGTTACAAATTTATCTTTTCAAAAAGATGCTAAATACGAGGGTCGTCTGAAAAGTTTTGAGCCTAACATAGAAACAAGTAATTTTTCGGTCAAATTCAATTTTATTTTTCCACATAATCTCCTTTTAAGTCGATACATTTTTTCCAGCAATGCTCCCATCCCTTTAATCCATTCAAATAATACTGAGCATCTTGCTTTGCAAAATAGGCGTCTACGGATGCGATGACCTCCTCGTTCGATGAAAATTTCTGTCCTCCGAGCCAAACTTTGAGCCTAGGAAACAGAAAAAAGTCGCTGGAGGCCAGATCTGGTGAATACGGTGGATAGTCAATTAATTCGAACCGCAATTCGTGAATTTTTGCCATAGCGACCGCCGAAGTGTGAGACAGTGCGTTATCTAGATTGAACAGCACTTTGTTCTTTTTCGAATACGGTCATTTTTTCTCAATTTTTGCCTTCAGCTTGTCAAGCAATGATGCGTAGTACGTCCCTGTTATTGTTTTACCTTTTTCAAGATAGTCGATCAATACAATTCCATGACTGTCCCAAAAAACAGTTGCCATCATCTTTCCCGCCGATAAAACCGTCTTCGCTTTCTTCGGAGCAGGTTCACCCTTCGCAGTTTTGATTGTTCTTTCGTTTCAGGAGTGAAGTGGTGGACCCAAGTTTCATCAACCGTTATTAATCAATGCAAAAAATCCGACTCGATTCGCTCAAACCGCTCCAACAGGGCCTTAGAAATGTTCATTCGAATGCGTTTTTGATCCAAAGTGAGCAAACGCGGCACCCAACGCGCGGTTAACTTACGCATGCCTAATTCTTCAGTCAATATATGACAAACACGTTCGTTTTATATGCTAACAGCCTCTGCTATCTCCCTAACCTTAATTCGACGGTTGTCCGTTATCATTTGATGAATTTCTTCGATGTTATTGGTGGTGGTCGCAGTTGTTGGCCGTCCCGAACGCTCATCATCAACTAAGCTGGTACGACCACATTTAAATTCAGCTACCCATCTATTCACGATGGCAAATGATGGGGCAGAGTCCCCGTAAACAGCGTCCAACTCGGCTTTAATTTGCGTAGACGTATCGCCTTTTAAATGCATGAATTTAATTATAGCACGATATTCAATTTTTTCCATTTTTACAAAATGATTGTCAAACAAGAACTGAACGTCCAAAGTGGCCACAATTGTCACAGATATCTTTCGTAAGTATCACGATTATAATACCAGAATGGCTTTGACGAATAACGCCATCTTCATGATAAGGCTCAAAACTTTTCAGACGACCCTCGTACATATCATTATAAGAATATCCTTGAAGAATTAAAATCTGAATTACATGGATAAGAATATCTTTGAAGAAAAAAATTAAAATTCGAATTACATGGAATTTAACTTGGCGCCAGTTTTGTTGATATCAAATCTTTTATACGAATGATACATATCATTATAAGAATATCCTCGAAGAAAAAACATCACCTCGATTAACCCTAATCGGTGATTTACTGTCAACCGTAAGTGGTCAATTCTACTAAACAGCAAACGCGATTAGTCATCAGTTCCACGGCTGATTAAGTAATTGGCGTTGATGAAACCGGCCCAAATGGTGGTTCTACACGAGAAACATGCACGCTTAGCGCTTTTTTTACCTTTTTTAAAAAAGGTAAGTTTGTATAATTCTACTAAACAGCAAACGCGATTACTTTAGTTCTACTAAACAGCAAACGTGATTAGTCATTAGTTTCACGACCGATTAAGTAATTGGCGTTGGTGAAACAGACCCAAATGGCGATTCGTTACGAGAAGTACACACGCTTAGCGCTTTTATTACCTTTTTTTTAAAAAGGTAAGTTTGTATACGATCATATATACAAAGGATATCATCAACTCGATTAACCCTGATCGGTGATTATTATGTAATTTGTAATTTAAAGATACGTTTCATGATACATTAATAAAACGCCGTGCTAACTTCACGGATACAACTTTTGAGGCGAGCATAAACACGCATATATGTGTCGTATCTGTGTGCGCGAACACTAGTCCGCACTGAGGACAATTGAAATGTGGCAACAGCATGTCCTTGTCTCGGCGAGAGAGAGAGAGAGAGAGAGAGAGAGAAAGAGAGAGAGAAAAGAAAAATTTCATAAAATTACAAATTTAAACTATTCTAATTCGAAGAAGCGGTACCGCTAAGTCTTTGAATTTTTTTAATAAGATTCTTACAATATTTCTTCATTACACATTAATTTTTTTAAAACACTTTTAAAACGTTACTTTTGCAAGGCTTGGTATAGGAGTTTATGTGTTAAAAGCTGAAACTTTGAAGGTGAATATCTCCATTTCAGCATTGCTAGGATCTTTGAAATTTTAATCATATATAGATAAATTTATTGTAAATATAATATCCAAAGGACCCCGCAGGAAATGATAGGGAAAT